AGGAATGTAAACAGGCTCTGGGCAGCATGGTGTCCAAGCACGTCACCACAACCTTGCTGCTGCTGGAGACACTGCCCCAGCTCTGGGGTCTGCCCTGGGCCCACCCCTGCCATGTGGAGGTCACCCTTACCTTTCCTTGAGGTGCCATGGTTCCCAAGCTGGAATTCACTGGAGTGAGGGAAAGGAGGAGCTGTGGAAAGGAACAGAAATGTCAGTGTGAGCCAAGGCCCCTCTCTGCAGGTTGTGTGAGCTAAGGGAGGGTTTGCTCCCTCCTGGGGGGTGGTGCCCATGGGAGAGCACTGCCAGGTGCTGCAGGATGGAGCAGGGAGAGGGGCTTTGCTGGCTTTGCACAGCCACCCTGTGATTACTGAGCCTTTGGTACCTGGCACTGAGGGGACCCCACAGGCCAGGGGCAGCACAGAGCCTGCACAGCTTCCTGTCAGTACCAAGAGAAACCAGGGGGGAAAAATGTGCTGAATACATTGAAACGGGCCGAGCATCCTCTGCAGGGCTGGGCCTTCTCACTGCACCCCTCAGTGTCCCTTCTGCTCCCCTGCAGCCCCAAGCCCTGGAGCCATCCCAGCTTCAGCAGCTGCTGGGGACTTTTCCTTGTCTCATGGTTCTGGGCAGCCCCCACAATATCCCCAGAGCTGTTATCTGAGTTTCTGTGCAGCGATCAAGGCCACCACCAGTCCCACACATCCTTGGAGACCAGGAAACACAGCTGGGTTTCCAGGGTAACTCGCAGGTTGTTTTATTAACACCAGCACTATTTATAACTGCAACCCACTGCGGTGTGGGCTCTCCCCACCCTCCCAGAGAAAGTCCCCCAACAGCGCCATTTGCTCTGAGAGAAGCTGATAGAGGGAGAAAAACAGCTGGAAAATGGAGCCTGGCCATGAATGAACCGCTGAGCGTCAGCTGAGGCCAGCCATGAGGCACGGCCCCGCCTGGCTCCTTCACCCTCCCTCGGAGACACGTTGCAGAAAAATTCAGAGCAGAGCAGGGCCACCCTGGGGGATTTCTGAGCCCAGAGGAGTTCGGTTTCATGCCATGGAGCGAGCAGGAGAAATCACATGAACTTCCCTGGCTTGGCTGCACATCCCTGCAGGAGCTCCCATGCGAGGGGAGACCCAGCCCTGCAACCATCTGTGCAGCTGGGCCCCCCTGCTTGGCTGCAGGAGGCTTTTAAAAGCACCCACAGGCACCGTGGCAGAGGGGAGAGAGTTTTGCAGAAACGCAGAGCTGCTTTCACCTCCCCTTCCCCCTCCAGCTGGGGAGGCTGTGATCCTCATCCCTTCCCGTGGCTCCTGGCCGGGCACAGCCCCACAAGTCCCGCACGCAGTGGGGCCGCACTGCGGCCGGGCGCTGGGTGGGTGCCAAGGGATCCCACCCCTGGCACAAGCAGCCTGTTAATGCCCCTTTGCAGCCTGCACACGAAGCTGTGTACCCTCCTGGGCGTGGGGAAATCCCAGCATGGCACAGCCCTTCTCCCTCACTCCGTGCATGCGGCAGCGGGGCTGAGAACGCCCAACTCATCTCGGCACTGGGGGGGAATTGCCGACCACACCCAGCCCCCGACCTGTCCTTGTGGTGCCCCGTCCCTGTCCCCTGCTGCTGCAGACACCTCCGCGGATCCCGGGAGAGCATCCCCGGGAAAATCCCCGCACAAACACACCCCATCCATCGGGCAGCAGTGGCCCAGCATGGGGGTACACCTGCCCCCCACCCAACAACGGAGAAATGTGGGTTATGGGGATCCCGTGAGAAATAAATCCTAAGTGATGTGCACAGCCCTTGTGGAAGCCTCTGTTTCGCCAGCAGTGCACCTCTCCAGGCTCTCCAAAGCCCCCCAGGGGTGTGAGCTCAGGGCTGTACCCCAAGGGCCCGACTGCCTTGGGGGGCTCCCCCAGCACAGAGGCCACAACACCCAGTGCCCCGCCACCCGCTGTCCTGAAGCAAAGCGAGATTCCCCGGGTTAAAAATACCGGACCATCTTCCTGACAGGGCTAGGGACTTCCCCAAAATGCCCTGCCCCACCCTACTGCCAAAAATCCTCCCAGGCCTTCAGGAGCTCCGAGCCTTTGGGCTGCTGTGGGCTGCGTTTACCTGGCCACGACTTGGTGGGTACCAAAGCAGGGGGGATCCTGAGCGTGGATCCCGGCTGGAAGGAGCGGTGGGCGTTTCCGCAGCGCCGCGGCACCAAAGCGCGGACCACGGCGCATCCCGGCCGGGACACACCCAGCGGGGCCGCAGCCCCGCCAGCGCCCACCTCAAAAAGCAGCACCGACAGCGCAGCCCCCGGGGCTTTGTTAGGAAGGAAAGATTTTTCGTAAAAAGAAAAAAACCCCAGGGACTCCCCCTGCAGCCACCCCTTGGAGGGAGCCTCCGCTTGCACAGCTCACCGCCCGGCACAGCCAGGGCTTTCCACGACTTTCCTCCCCCCAGGCCATTGCGGAAAAAAGTGCCCGGCCCCGTCGGGCGCCCCGGCCCGCACCCCTGTGCCCGCACCCCGCGGTGCCCCGGCCCGCAGCGGGCACTGACCGGCAGCGCGGAGCCTCCCGGGTGCGCTCGCAGGAGCCGCGGCCGCGCTCGGGCTGTTCCTGTGGCCGAGCGCTCGTCCTTGGCCAGCAGCTGTTTCCTCACGGCGAGACGTCACCGCCCCCGAGTCCCCGCCTGCCACGGCCGGGGCCACATCCCACCCCCGGTGCCGCGCCAGACCTCCGCCGGGTGCCCGCGGTGCGGCGGCGCCCGATGGCACCCGCAAAATCAGCCGCGGCACCCAATGTCACCGCAAAATCACCGTGCCCTGCCCGGCTGTGGGGAAGGGGGTCTCCTGGCACAAGAGCCCCACTGGTGTGTGCAGGGGCACTGTGCCAGCAGCGGTGGCTCAGTGCCACACGCACACTGCCAGGCAATACCGGTGATTGCGTTTCAGCGGCGGAAATGTCACCCCTTCTGTCCCCCAGCTGTGGTTTCCTGGCGAACGCCAGGCGCAGGGTACCCCGCTGCCTCCCGGTCCTGCCGCCAGCCTGCCACCTCCTCCTGCACCAAATCACCCCAAATCACCCCTTCCCTGCTCCTGGCTGGGAAATGTCCACCCCTGGCCCTCTGCAGGAGTCTGAGGGGGGAAGAACGGCCTGACCTTGGTCCCCTGGGACACGCTTAAGGAGGGACGTGCTGACCAAGGCTCTGCAATGAGCACCCACGGGGCAGGACCCGAGCTGGAGCAATGTCCTGGTTTTGCCCCCAGTCTTCTCTTCCCTGCAGACACGGATGAGGTGCAGGCTGAGGCTCTCCAGGATGCTGCTGGCAGGCTGTGCCGTTGTCTGCGCTGTCCTGAGGCAGTTTCCTGCCCCGCCTCACCCAGGTTTAACCCCGCTCCTTCTTTGCCACCTCCCAGCCAGCGCAGAGGTCGCGGCGGGGCTGGAGGAGCTGGTGGGGCTTCCCAGGAGCCACGGGCAGTGGTGTCTGACACCAGCCAGAGCAGAAAACCCCAAGGGACTCCTGGAGATGCTAAAGGCTGCTGGTGTGTAACCTTTCAGGCATCCCAGCCCTGGTGGTACCCACTGGCTTGAGCATCTCTCTGGGGCTGCGAGGCAGCTGAGCTGCTCAGCCCTGCCTGTCCGGGGCTGCACAGGCCCCAGGAGGGCTGGCATGCAGCCACAGGGCAGTGCTCCCCTGGAGGAGCCTGGCAGGGTGAGACCCTCACAGCCTCCCAGCACTGGCTGCTCCCTCCTGCCCTGTTTTTCCCTCAGAGTAATGTTCCCTTGGGCTGGCACTGGTATCTGGAGACCTCGCTCATGTGAGATGGTGTGGGTGACAAGCACGGCTTTGTTCGCCCTGTGCTGCAGTGTGGGACAACAGCCCAGCTCTCCCTGCCTGGTGTGCTGAGCCCCCCTGCCCCAGAGGTGCTCACAGTGCCCAGCAGCTCACAGGGGCTCTAGATATGGGGCTGCCCCACAGAGCCAGGACAAGGCAGCCTTGCGGTTGGAGTGTACATCTCTGCTTTAGATGCTCTGGATCCTTCCTTGCTTTGCTCCTCCATGGCTCCTGCTCCCTTCCTCTGCTCCTTGCAAGCTGAAAGCCAGAGGATGGGCTGAGCCACAGCCTGAGAGTTTTTGTCTCAAAATACTATAAGCAGACTCAGCCTGAGTGCTTTCTACAATAAAATCTAAGTTAGCTCTTCACACCAAAACACCTCCTCAGAGCCCAGACTTACTGCTCTTCTCCCAGGATGCTGATGACCAACCAGGTCACCCCATCACTTCCTCCATGGCCTCTCCTTGCCAGGAGCAGCCATGCAGAACAGCCACGCTGCTGCCCAAGGACACTCATGTGCCTTACTGGCCCCAAGGAGCCTCACCTGGGACCCCCATCCACACAGCCCTGTGCTCTCATTTAAGCCCAGCCCTGGACTTACCCCTGCCCCTGTTGAACTCCTCTGCTCATCCCCTGTGAGCTGCACCCCAGGAATGCCCAGATACCAGGGAAGTGCAAGCAGCCTCAGGATTTTGCTTCGGGGTGTTTCAGCTGGACATGCTGCTGCAAACATCCCATGGAGCTGGGTCTGTGCTCCTCTGCCTCGCTGCTGCAGTCCAATTCACCTCCCTCTGTGTTCCCCAGGGGCAGCTGGGGTCAGTCATCGCTGCAGGTGCACGCACCCCTAACCCCCAACCCAGCCTTGTTACTGCTCTCTCTGCCTGAATTTCCTCCAGAACCAGCTCCACAGTCTGAGATGTGGGTGCTGGTGTAAGGAGCAGGGACAGAGGAAAAGAGTTCCCCCTTCCACCTGCACAGGGAGCTTGGAAAAGCGAATTAAACTCCCTCAATAATGCCTCTGAGCCTATTAGCATTGCAGGCTGTGTGTATGATTTGGAAGGCGTTGTGGGAAAAATATTTCTGCATAGATTTCCCATTGTGCAGCCCGGAGCGGTGGTCAGCGGGGGGAGGGCCAGGGTGCTCCCAAAAGGGATTTAAGGGGAGAGCCTCAGGGGGGCATGCCTGGTGCTCCTTGTCCTCAGCAGCTCGCCACTGGAGCAAAGGATGGCTGGGGTGAGTAATTTGTTTGCAGGGGAAGGGAAAATCGCCGGTGCGAGGTGCCGTGGGCGGGACTGGGGCTGTGCAGAGGGTGGGTGCTGCTGGGGCAGCTCCTCCTCACCCCCGGGGCACAGCATTTGTCCTGGAGAATTGCAGCTCCCCGTTCCACCAGGAACACCTGCAGGTCTGGGTGCCGGGCAGGGCTGTCCCTGTCCCCTCCAGTTCCATGCCACAGCAGGGATCACATGTCCCCTGTGCCACAGGGATGTGCCACTGGACAGGGTTTCCAGCCATGGAAGTAGCAGATTATGGCACTTGGAGTGTGTGGCACGGCTTTTGCTTTGCTGTGGGGTAACCTGGAGGTCCTGGCAGCACCATGGGATGTGAAGGCAGGTTGTCCGGACCTGGAGCTCCTGGGAAAGGATGTGCAGCATGGGGGAAGGCAAACAAATCCCAGGCATGCCATACCAAGCACACCTTCCCCCAAGCACAGATGTCACACAATTTGGGGTTTCTGCCAGGCTAACATCCCCATTGGTGCTCCCAGCAAGCCAAAGCATTACTGCACAGGCTGATGGCCCAGGGGATCCAGTCTCCACCTGAGCTGTGCCATTGACCCACAATTACAGGTGCTGTGGGAGCATCTACAGCTGAGCAGCTGGGTCCTTCCTGGTGCACTTCAAGGCAATTTCCAGGAGAAGAGCATCTCCCATCCTTCCTTGCCTGGCATAGGTTCTGTATTTCAAATAGTTTCAGTGTCACAGCTGGGGTGATCCTGACTGTGTGTCCCTGCTGAGGAGGCCGCTGGAGGAACAGGACTTTCTGAGCTGGCAGGAGGTCAAACACGTGTCCTTGTCCCCTCTCAAAAATTTGACACAGCCAAACAAACCCCAGTCATGCATAGCTCCACATGTCATTGGGGATGAGAGAGCAGCACAGCTGCTTGAGCCCCATCTTGCTCCAAAATGGGCTGTTTTACTGGCAGAGGCAGAGAGCAGGCAGCACACAGCAAGTCCAGGAGCGCTGTGGATGGTGGGAGCTGCAAACCCACCACTCAGGCTGGGTCTGTGTGACATTAGGGTGGTCAGTGCCTGTGGGGCAGCAGAGTCCTCACACCGCTGCTTTCCTCTCCTGCAGGTGCCGTGCTGGGGCCACCTACGCTCTGTTCCCAAGCTGCTTTCCCGCAGAAAGCGAGTCCCAGCCGGCTCCGAGGGCTCCAGCCTCCGCCGCTGCCTCTCCACCGTGGATCTGGCTGCCTTGGGAGTGGGCAGCACGCTGGGGGCTGGTGTCTACGTCCTGGCAGGGGAGGTGGCCAAGAGCAGCTCTGGCCCGAGCATCGTCCTGTCGTTCCTGATTGCAGCTGTGGTGTCTGCCCTGGCAGGGCTGTGCTACGCCGAGCTGGGGGCCCGCGTGCCCCTGGCTGGCTCTGCCTATCTCTACAGCTACGTGACGGTGGGCGAGCTCTGGGCCTTCCTGGCTGGGTGGAACCTGCTGCTCTCCTATGTCATTGGTATAAGGCCTTCTTGATCCCTCCCACCACCGTGCTGGTGGCTTTGCTGGGTGTCCTTTGAGACCTCGCAGGGCCACCAGAACACAGCCATCCCCTCTCCCCAGGTACTGCCAGCGTTGCCCGGGCCTGGAGCGCTACCTTTGACCAGCTCCTTGGCAAGAAGATGGGGAGGTTTTTGGGTGCTCATGCAGCCATGGGCTCTGTGGGGCTGGCAGAGCACCCAGATGCCTTTGCTGCTGGCCTGGTGGTCCTGCTGGCAGGTAGGATGCCTTCCCCTGTGCCACCCCCCATCAGGTAGGATGAGCTCCTCACCCCACCATGGGTTCTTCAGTATGGGGCTGACCCCTCTGATGGCTTTGCCATTTCCCTGGGCAAAGAATGGGGAATAGAAAGGGAATCTGGGGAAATCTGCAAGTTGTCCTGAATTGGCCACTGCCCTCCTTTTCCACCCTCCCCAGGAATGTCTACCCTGGTGTCATCCAGGGACATCATCCAGTTTTGATTTTTTATTCTCCAGCGCTTCTTTCCTTTGGAGTGAAGGAGTCCACCATGGTCAACAAAGCTTTCACAGCTCTCAACGTGCTCGTCCTGCTCTTTGTCACAGTGAGTGGCTTCATCAAAGGCCACATCAGCAACTGGAAGCTCAGGGAGGATGACCTGCCACAGGCAGCTGCCCAGGAGGCTGGGTATGAGGGGCTTCACTCTCCCTGTGCTGCCTTCAGAGTGGGGTGGGGAGTCAAACCCCAGTGCTTTATCCCAGGAGACACCACTTTCTCCATTTCTCCCTGTTAGCAATGTGTCAAAGTGACAAAGTCCTAAGCCCTGCTGGGTTGATGCTGTGGGTTGAGCGGGTTGCATGGACTGTTCAGCTTGACCCCATCCTGGGACCCCATTGCCCTGACCCCCCTGCACTGCCTGACTCTTCTTCCTCCTCCCAGGAACCAATCCATGGACAGCAACATGACCAGTGCCTTTGGGGTGGGAGGCTTCATGCCCTATGGTTTCACTGGGACCTTGGCTGGAGCCTCTGCCTGTTTCTATGCCTTTGTTGGATTTGACTGCATTGCTACCACAGGTAAGGGGGGTGGGGGTGCTGCTGGTGGGACCCTCCCTGGAGGCTGGGGGTGCTGTGGCAGTTGACTCCCCACAGTCCTGGAACTGGTGTAAGGCTGGGAAATGGGCACATTCCCAGCTCTGTTCTGCAGCCACTCTCTCCTGCCCTTTCTGAGTCCATGTGGAATGTCTGGGCTAATCCTGAAGCAGAGACATTCTCTATCCCAACATCCCTGGGACCCAGAACATCTAGTGGTCCTTGCTAGAAGGTCTCTGTGTCCTCTCTTGGGGGGTATAGGATCTGCTCTCCAGCCTGAGCTGGGCTCTCAGCATGCCATGCATGTTAAATGAGCCTCTGTTCCTACAGCTGAGCTTGTCCTCCCCAGGGGAAGAAGTGAGGGACCCACAGAGATCCATCCCCTTGGGCATCATTCTCTCCCTCCTCATCTGCTTCCTGGCCTACTTCGGGGTGTCTGCTGCCCTCACCCTGATGATGCCCTACTACCTCCTGGACACCACGAGCCCACTGCCAGTGGCTTTTGAGTACATTGGCTGGAGCAGTGCAAAGTACGCCGTGGCTGTGGGGTCACTGTGTGCCCTGACCACCAGGTGAGGGGCGTCCTCTGATGGCATTCCTGTGCTTCAGAGCAGGTACTGGAGCTGAACACACCCAGGAGATATCCCCAACCCCTCCCTCCTGAATTCCTCCTTGCCTTTCCTGCTTGGCCAAAATCCCTTCCACACAAACCCTGGTGTTCCCACCCTGGCCCTTCCTGATCAGGGAGAGCAGCCAAACCCGTTGGCATGCCACTGAAGGAAGTGGCTGGTGGCTGGTGGCACCATGTCCACAAGAGTGGGCTGGCATGCACAGGTGGCTACAGACATCTCTTTCTTGACACTGTGCCTCATCTGATGGTGAGGAAGGTGATGGTCTTGAGAAGGTTATGGGCCATACAGATGAATGGGAGCTCCCTTGGAGGGGTAGAAGGCAGAATGGCACCTCCTGCATTCCTCCCCTCTTCTCCCCCATCTCCTCCCCTCTCTCATGCAGCCTCCTGGGCTCCATGTTCCCCATGCCAAGGATCCTGTATGCCATGGCTCGAGATGGGCTCCTCTTCCAGCCTCTGGCCAAAGTCAGTCGCCGTCAGTGCCCGGTGGTGGCAACTCTGGTGTCTGGGGCAGTGGCAGGTGGGTGAGTGCTTGGGTTCCCCTTAACTGTGAGCAGGCCTTGGTGGTGTCCTCTTTCCCTCTAGCTTGACTGCAGCTGTTTGAGCCATGTCTCCACCCAGAGACAGATCTCCTCATTGGCCTTGATGGTGTCCCAGACTCTGCTTCAGCCTCTCTGCACTGCCAGGCAGGAGGTGATGGGGTGCTTTGTACTGGTGCCCAAAGCATCATCAGTTCTTCGAGGTTCTGTTGCAGTGGGTGTCAGGGGGACATGCGGAGCTCAGGAGAGTGTGACTGTGGTGGGCACAGCAGCACTGCCAGCTCTGCTTGGAGGCTGAAAGGGCTTCTCTTCCCCACAGCTCTGCTGGCCCTTCTCTTTGACCTGAAAGCCCTGGTGGACACCATGTCCATTGGCACACTGCTGGCCTACTCGATGGTGGCTGGCTGTGTGCTGCTGCTCAGGTGAGACTGCTGGGGACAGGGGACAGGGCTCACCCAGCTTCTGATGTGGGCCATGCCTGGGACACGGCAGGTGCAGGTTTATGTGCATTGACATGCAGTGTCTGCTCCTCAGGTATCGGCCTGAGCCCAGCCCTTGGGACACTCCTGTGGGGAAGGTCCCAGCTGTGCAGCTCTGGTGGAACCACCTGGTCCAGCCGCCCCCCCATCCCACCCCTCGCTCCTCTGCTGTGGTGGTCTGGGCTCTGACAGCTGCAGGTGTGTCTGGGAACCATGGGTGGGCACTAAGGGAGCTGGCATGGGGGCACCCATGGGGGATGTCCCTTCTCTAGACAGGGCTGGCCTGGTGGAAACCTCCCAGCAGCAGATGCAGGGTCTGCCCGGCTCCTTCCTGCCCTCACCCCCCTGCCACACAGCTGGCTGCCCCAGCGGGACCTCAGCAAACCTCCCACTCCCACTGCTTCCCAGACTGGAGAGAAAAGCTAAACCCACCATGAGAAGCCACCCAGCCGTGTCCCCCAGTTGTCATTTGTCCCACCATGGCAGCCTGGCAGAGGGATGGGCCCAGCCCAGGGAGGCTGCCCTGACACTGTGGTCCCTCTGCAGCCGCCCTGGCCTGTGCCCTGAGCTGGGTGAGCACTGCTGGGCTGCCCTGCCTGCAGGCTGGGGGTGCCTGGTGCATCACAGCTCTGGCCCTGCCTCTCCTGGGGATCCTGGCAGCAGCTCTTCTCATCTGGAGGCAGCCTCAGAGCCAGGACAAAGCATCCTTCATGGTGAGCACCCAGCCCAGCCCTCAGGATGTACCCAGGAAGAAGGACCTGGGGCGCAGAGAGCAGGCAAGTGCTGCAGGCCTGTGGGGAAAGGATGCCATTTGGGGGTGTTCCCTCAGCTGTAGGTCAGGCACATCTTTGCTGCATCCACATTAATAAGGTACTGCTGGAGGCAGCATGTAGCTCATGGGGTTTTCCATAGGGACCATGAGGGTTCTTTCCTCCTCAAACTGAAGGCTGAAGGGGCATCTCCCAGCTGAGCCCAGTGCCTGCTGAGGAACCAGAGCTGTTCTTCAGAAAAAGATACCTGGCCTTAACACCTTGGCTTACTTTTCCGAGTGCTTTGCTGCCTCTCACCTCAAATCCTGCAGTACCTCCTGCCCCAGTGCAGGACCTGTCAACCAAAACACCCTCCACAATCATCCCTCTCCAGCACAGGCTGCAGTCCCAGCTTGGATCTCTGAGCCTCACAGCCAGGCTGGACTTCCCCTTGCCTTTGAACAATTTGCCAAAGCAGCAAAGAGCTGAATTTAGCTGTGGAATTTACCCTTGTGCTCCCTGCAGGTTCCCTGCCTGCCCTTCCTGCCTCTGCTCAGCATCTCCATCAACGCCGTGCTGCTGGCCCGGCTCAGCGCGGCCGCCTGGCTGCGGTTCCTGCTCTGGATGGCTGGGGGTAAGCACGGCCACTCACGGGGCCCCAGAGCTGGCACTCCACTCTGGGTGGGGTTCTGGTGGTTTGAGAGCCCGTGGCACTAATGTTGCTGTGAGCAGTGGTGGGGAGGGAGGAGATGGGGGTAAGCACGGCCACTCACGGGGCCCCAGAGCTGGCACTCCACTCTGGGTGGGGTTCTGGTGGTTTGAGAGCCCGTGGCACTAATGTGAGCAGTGGTGGGGAGGGAGGAGAGGCTGACCTTTGATGTCCAGCAGTGGTGGGAGCACCATGTCCTCTGATACATGGCCCAAAGGAAGGGGCCAGCATTGGTGGATGGGAGGGGAAGGAAGAGAAACAGTCCATACACACCCTATTCTGCCCTTTTCCAGGTTTCCTCATTTACTTTGGCTATGGGATCTGGCACAGCACTGAGAGCCACTGGCCTGAAGGGACAGGTCCCCAGGGGGGAAGCAGAGCCAGGGAGGTGGCCCTGGAGCCCTGTGGGACTGCCCTGTGCCCATCTGCTCCAGGGCAATAAAAGGGGATGGCTAGTTCCTGGGTGCCTGGCTCCCTCCATCCTGTGCCCAGGGGGCAAGGAAGCCCCTTGGGCTGTGGGTCCTGTCCCACAGAGGTGGCCAGCCCTGCCAGAGCTGCAGGAGCTGCTGCCCCAAATCTGGTGAACCTTCCTGAGCAACCCAAATCCTCACACTGAGCCCCTGCAGACAGAGTTCTGTTTGGAGAGGATAAAGCACACAAGTGTTTTTGCTGCTCTTACTGGGCTGTGTTTTTGGTTTTCCTTTGAAATCTTCCCCTGCAGTCTCCCACAGGCCCCTTGCCCTTGCCCACCCTGTTCCTTCAGCTGCTCACAATGAGGTGGAGGCTTCTTGTGCTGCCCTGACCGTCATTTTCACCTGGGCACCCTGCTTGAGCTGACCTGTCATCCCCCCCATGACTGCCAAGGTACTGCCTGGCCCAGGCTTTCCCCCCTTCATAGTGGCCAAGTCCTTTTCTGCACTCATTTATTCCTCCTCCTCAATTCCCAGTGTCCCCTTTCCCAGAGTCGGGCACATTCTTCCAAGTCCCACGCAGGATCTGCCTTTGGGGCTCTGGGACATGGTACCAGATGTCCAGAGAAGGATCCCAGAACCCACCAGCCTCAAATCCCTTTGTCCAGAAATCCTGATCCCTTCAGCCATAACCAGGCAGGATTTGCTGGGCTCTCCCCTGCTTTGGTGCTGCAGCACCTGTGGGAGGCACAATGATGTGTGGAGCAGAGGGTGCCCTGGTGGGACATGGTTCTGACACAACAGACTCCCCATTTCCCCCTCTAGCCACCCCATGGAAGTTTGTGGGTCAGAGCTGGACCCCACATCCATGTTGCCTTCCTGGCTGCCCATTCAGCTGCTGCATTTCTGATTAGGGTCAGCACAAAGGACGGAAGTGGCTGATGCAGTGATGCTGGGAGGGTCCAGGTCCGGGTCTGCCCTGAGCTGGGAGCCCATTGAAATGAAGGAAAAGAGGGAAGGAGCAGGAAAATGGGGATTAGCCTTAAGGGCCTCATCTGGAGTTTCCTTGTTGAGTCTTTGTGGTACAAGCTCCCTCCCTTCCCCTTCTTCCCACTGTATGGGGTGTGGAGTGCACAGCCCCACTCTGGGACACTCGTGCACCAGTCCCCCAAACCCCTGACATGGGATTCCTGAGGCTGCTGCTTCTTACAGATCTGTAATCATTACAGCCAGCAGCACCTTGGCTGGTGCACACACACCCACACTCACCCACACACACATGTACAGCTCTGAACAGCTCTGGCTAAACAGCCCTGGGGAGGGGACAGGGCTGTGACAGGCCCAGAGCAGTGACTCCCACCACACTTGTGCACCCAGGGGAAAGTGCTTGTGTGCATCCAGCCCTGACCCACAGCCATGCTGGCAGCATCTTCCCTGATGGGGATGCCCTGCCTCGAGCAGAGGGGTGTGACCTGCCAAAGCCTGGTACCCCCTGGAAGGATGCTCTGCTTCCTGATGTACAGCTTCAGCCTCTATCCAGCTTTTGGGGGAGAAGATGGGACTGGTGGTGTTGCTGATGGGCAGCAGGGACAAGTAGGGCTTGGGGTCTTTGTGGCAGTGAGCTGGGACATGCCTGAGCTGCAGGAGCTGTACCTGGGAGACATTTGCTGAAGGTGGAAGACGTGATGGGAATAGGTGGGCATGGGTAGGAGCCCTGCCTGATGAGGTTAACACCATATCCCCAGTGCCCTCCTCATCCTCCTGGTGCTTGTCCTAGTGGCCTCTCATCATCCTCATGCCCTGGGGCAGCACTGGTGTTGTTTATATTCAGAGCCAAATGCTGGATCCGATCCAGCCTGATGCAAGTCTGTGTGTCCTGGCTGACCTCTTTCACCCCCAGTCACCCCCTCACCAAAGGGGTGCAGGGACTGCGTGGGTGGGAGGCCAGGGTCCCTCTGCAGTCCCACACGGGCTGGGGAAATGCAGGCGTAAGTGTCCCGTGAAATGCTCCATCACTCCGGTCCATGAGCGCCCCGAGGGCTCGGCCAGCCCGGAGCCCTGCCCCGACTGGGGGGCACTGATGGGAGCAGCCCTGGGCTCACAGGGCAGCCCCGGCAGCGCTCGGTGCCGTCGGTGCTACGTGGCGATGAGGGGCACCTCGCCGGTCGCCATGGGGAAGGGGGTGCCGTCCTCGGCGTTGAGCACGCGGTACAGCAGCTCCTCCTTCTCCCGGCGAGCCTGATCCAGCAGCTGCGCCTCCTTCTCCAGCGCCCCGCGGGCGGCCTGGAGCTCCTCGGACAGCTGCCTGCGGGCAGAGGGCACGGGCTGCCGGAGCCGCCGGGCACAGCGCCCCGAGCACTCTGCTCCCCGCAAAGCAGCCGGAGGCACCGCAGGCTGCGATGTGCTCCCGCACTGCCAGCTGTCCCCCCACCGCAGATGTCACCTGTGCCCCGGCTGGGTGGGACTTACCTCGCCATGACCAAGTGGTTCTGCGTGCGAACTTGCAGGTCCTCGTTCTCTTGCTGGAGAGTTTTCACCTTCTCCTCCAGCAGAAGGTTCCTCTCTTCCTGGAAGGGGGCAAGAGGGTGAGGAGAGAGCTGGGAAGCACTTCGGAGCCCCCTGCCAGCATTTTGGGTGAAATGCTGGCCTGGTGGCATTGCTCCCCCATCCCCTCCCCATGCCAAGAGAGGAAACAGGGTCCATCCACCTCTGCTCCAGCTGCAGTTTCTGGGCAGAATTAAGGTGGGTAGAGGAGCTGAAAAGAGGAAAGCCCACTTGTGACCCCCCCTTTCAACCCACCACAGTCTCCAGGTGCAGCAGCTTCTTGTCCAGGCCGTGGATGTGCTCGTTCTTCATCTCAATGACGAAGTGCAGGCTCTCCAGCTCCTGCTCCCAGAAGGGGCTGGGGCTCCCGTGCTCCTGCAGGGCCATCACTTGTGTCCAAGGGATCTCAACACCTCCCCAGGACAGGCTTTGCTCCCCACTTCAGGTGTCTTGTGCTCCCCTCTGGTTCCAGCCCCACCAGGGTCCATCAGAGAGGCCCCTTGGCTTTGGGTCAGCACCCCACAGCAGGTCCCCTCCCTGACACCCCTCCCTGCACCTGGATGTGCTTCTTGTAGTCTGTTCTCAAGAGTGATTCCTCCACCCGCTTCATCCTCTCCTGGAAGGATTTCAGCTGGGAATTCAGTGCCTGAATTTTCTCCTAGGAGAACCACGGAAAAAGCAGAATGAGAGGTATCTGGGATTTCTTTCTGAGCCAGGGGACTGCTGTGCTGTGATACCCAAATTACACCACAGCTGGAGGAGCTGATGCAGTCCCCAAGCACCCTAGGGACTGAGGTGGCCACTGAACAACGTGGGGCACCATGGCAGAACCAGCAGATGGTACTCATGCCCGCCACAAGCCCCCCCTCCCCAGGGATTTCTCTTTTGATACCTGTAAGGCTGCCTCAGACCTGTGGTGGGACTCTGTCAGCAGCAGCTTCTCCTGCTCATGTGCTCCCTGCAGCTCTGTGGGGGAACACGAGCTGAGTGCCACCAGTGTGGGGACATTGGGGCAGCAGGCCCCACCTGAGCCCCACAGAGGTGGAGAGCAGGGACAGTGTCCCCATGAGCCCACAGGCAGCCAAAGGGACACTGGCAGTAGTGGGGAGAGGGGAGGGGAGCTGCAGGGAGCCCCACTGCCCTGGCACTCACCTTGCAGGGTTTCTGTGTGCTCTCTCCTCAGGGCATCAAGCTGTTCCTTCAGCTCCAGCTCTTTTCCCTTTTCCACCTGGGAAGCAGTTGGATGAGAAATCTCAGTGTAAAGGGATGCATAGCTTCACTGCTTTGGGCTTCCTCACCCTTTCTTAGACCTGTCCTTCTCCCAAAAATTGGAGAGCCCAGCACATGCCAGGGAAGACCAGGCTGGTGACATGCTCCATGCCCAGCTGCTGCCTCCAGCAGCATCAGCCCTTCCAGCTCACCTGGATTTCAGCGTCCTGGGAGATGCTGGCAGTGCCTGCCCGGCCAGCATCCCGCAGCCGCTGCTCCTCCTCCTCCTCCTGGCCTTGGAGGAATCTCGCACTGTCCACCCACTCCTCTGGCCGTGCTGCCTTCTCCCCGTGCTCAGGAAGCAGGCAGGCATTGGCTGCAAGACAAACACGGCTGAAGCAGCACCGGCTGCCTCCCCCTGGCTGGGCTGCCTGCACATCCTGGGCAGCTGAACCTGCACTGCCCTCTTCCCACCGGAGAAACACCTCCCTCCGTCTCACTGGCCCAAATTAGCATGAATTGAGATGGCGCTGGCAGGCTCAGAGAGGACACAGAGCTTGTCAGGTCTCCTGTTCTGGGGATGCCATTGTCTCCGGGGTGCCCTGTTTGCCCTCCTGCACCAGCAGGCACCTACAGCATCCCCATCCTCCCTGGTGCCATGCTGGGGCCTGTCCAGTGCTTCCTTAATATCACTCTGGGAAAGTAAAGCAGGGGGAAAACACATTTTTTCTCACCATTTTGTGTCTTCAAGGCCGAAAGCTCCTGGGAAGCTGATCCCCTCTGCTGCTGGGATTTTAGCTGTCTCTGGCAGAGAGAGAGGGGGCTGGAGCAGGGGGGAACAGAATGGGGCAGGTGGCTGCAGGCAGAGAACACCCTGCACTGAGCCTGCATCAGCTCTGCTAAAACACAGCTCCTCGGGGAGCAGAGGTCCCTCCCCAACCCCCTGCCCTCTCCCAGCACTGGGCACCCATGGGTGTGCCTGTACTGCTCATCAGGCAGCCTCAAGCTCATGCCACTTCCCTGCATCCCAGACAGTTTACCATGTGGCATTCAGCTGGAAAACCTGGGGGATGCCACCCCCACTGACATGGTGCTGGTGCAAAATGGGTTCCAGCAGCAAAACTTTTGGTGGGGGAGAGCAGGCAGCACTTGGCAGAGCTCCAGCTTCGGCACTCCCTTGCCACCCTCCTCCTGTCCTGGGATGTTCAGCTCAGTCTGGTCCCTGGCACCTTGCAGCCCCCCAAACACACGCCTCTGCCAGAGCCTTACACAGATGGGCTTTGACACAGCTGGAGCAGGAGTGAGAAAAGAAAAATAACCATAAATCAGAGGCGATACAGCCCCTGTGCAGGGCTGGCAGCAGGCGAGAGCAGGCGGCCAAGCAATGACCTCAGGAGCGCAGGAATGTGCTGCACAGCCCCGCGCTCCCGCACGCTCCCGCTGCTGCCACGGGGCTGAGATAACCCAGAGCCGGGAGCTGCCTCCAGCAACACAGCTCCGTGGGATGCCTTCCAGCCCTGCATGGGTTTAATTTAGTCACTTGGAGGGGAGAAGAGAAAAAAAAAAAAACCTACAGGGAGTGGATATATTTTTATCAGTTGCTGAAAGATAGAAGCAAAGCTCGCAGGCTCTCACTGCTCAACCTCGCAGGCACAGGGCAAATCTGGTCCCTGATGCCCATCACTGAGATGTGCTTCTGGATATTGCACAGGTGCACGAGGGGTGAGGAAATTCACCTGAAGACACGGTGCTGCTCTCCAGCCCCCGGTAGAGGTGTCCCTAAAAATCCCGATCCCTAAGGAGAGCCGCCCGGCTGCCTGCGGGACCCGCTGTGCCGGCTGCTCCCCGGCTCGGCCCCGCGCACAGCGGCCAAATACAACCCGGATTAGGGAGCCTGGCTTGGGAAAAAGCAAGGGAAAGCAAACAGACGTCCCTGTCTCCGCCTCCCCTGCAGCCCCCCTTCTGGAGCTGGAGGGAGGCGCAGTTCCAGAGAGCAGGAGAGCTCCAAGGCTCTGGGAAGCCACGGCTTTATCTTCCCTTCTATGGCATGAGCAGCCGCGGCGTTGAACGTGGCCCAGGCGAGGGGGCGAGGAGGCACCCGGCAGTCTGAGTTCACGGGGCTTGTTCTCCTTGTCCATGCAGCTCATCCTGAAAGCGTGGGGTGCCCTGGGATGCTGCTGGATCCTGGCACACCTGACTGCAAAGTGTCCCCAGGAATCCCCGCCTGTCCCCTGACACACCTCCCTGGCATTTAACGCACCCGTGTCCTGTGATGGGTTTTGAAGTCGGGGGATGGGGAGCAAGGGGAGAGAGGAATGAGACAGTCGAGGCTCTGCAGTCCTGAGGGTATCACAGGAGTCCCAAAAGGCTCCTCCCCTCGCCCCACACCCCATATCCCCCCCTTTTTTCACTGCAACAAAGCAAAGGCTGTGTAGGAGGACCCTCCTGATACAGGGGGGTGACACACACCTCAAGGGTTTTGGATGACCTCAGCAGAGCTGAGAGCAGAATGCTGTTACCACCTCCAGGAGGGACCCCAAAACCCCAAACCAAACCAAACCGAATCAAACCAAACCAAACCAAACCAAACCACCTCTGCTACATTTGTGCTGCTCACTGGCATAAGTGATGCCTAAGGGCAGAGAGCCCAGGGCTGGTCACCTCCATAGCACAGGCAATGTCCCCAGCACAGACCCAGGGAATCTTCACTTCTCCTCCACACCCCAAATCCAGCAGGATGGGACCTCAGAGCCCCTCAGCTTCTAAAGGAAGATGATTTGAGACACCAGCACTGAACTCAGAAATAGGTGAAGCAAGCAACAGGTTCACCAGCATCAAGAGACAATCTAAATACTTGCCCTGAGGCTATGAGTGAGGCACCTTCCTACCTCTAGGAGCAATTAAAATAGCGCCTAGAGCTAATTTTAGTCATAAGCACTCAATTGTCCTTTGGAATAAAAGCTCCATCTCTGGGATGAATAGCAAAAATTGGCTGAAAGCTCTGAAATATGGAGGGACTTTCCATGTCACTTCCAGAGAAGCTTTGTGGCACCCGAACCTCTGGTATCACCCAGCGCATTTTGGAGAGCTGGAAAATCATCCTGGAATCCACAGTGTGTGCAAGGAGCAGGTTGGGAATTGCTCCAGCTGGAACAGCTTTGGCCAGGGGAAGAAGCAGCCTGATACATCCTGCAGGTGGGGGCCATCCACAGCGTAGCTTATCCTGTAAGGTCTTGGAAACCTCTGCCAAAAATACCTTCCAGTTATGAAAAACCAAAAGTATCTACATTCTTAGAACTAAATATTTCTAACAGTCTGGAGCAGGACTGTTTATGGATGGATTAATAGGGATTTCCAGCAGACTTGAGTAATCTCCAAGGGTTCTGGGGTGGGGAGCACCAGTGCAGAGGAGCTGGCACAGTGTGGGCAGCCAAGGTGGCTGCAGCCTCTGCTTCAGCTCTTAGCATGAGGTGGGGTTTTGGACTGTATTTTTCTTCCTCTTTTCCTGTTTTACAAGTACATTAAGCAATTCAACCATGCAACCTAGCAAAGGAAATCACAAAGAGGCAGGAAATGAGTATTTAAATCCTGACTCTGCTCCTGGGGAGGAGGTTTTGCTTTGTGGCTGTACAGAAGGGGGCCAGGATTTGGTCCATGACTGTAACACCTCCCAGGACCTGCCACAGATGCTCAGTGCTGCCACAGCAATGCTGGCACAGGTCCGTAGGACCTGTCTTTAACCCTGCTGCTGTGTTTCCTCCAGTGATGGTGATGGTTGTGTAAGGAGGTGATTATCACCTCTCCTATAGTCAGATCTGTGCCGCAGACCATAGGCAAACACTTCTCACTGTTGACAGCCCCGAGTTTTGCATTCTGACCCTTCCCTGACTCCTGGTTCTATGTACAGTTCCTGGCACTTCAAAATAAATTCACTCCAGCCCTGGAAGGTGGCCAAGCCTCAGCCCTGACTTTTAGGAAGGCAACTTGGCCTCTCTCACGCCAGGAGCGTGACCAAAGCACGAGCGGTGACCGTGAGTGGCCAAGCACGGGTGGATGGAGCTGAAGGGGAAGGAAACCCCAGGGGCAGTGGCCACAGCTCAGGGCTGGGATCTCTCTGTGCCTCCCTTATCGCCCTGCTGCCCGCAGACTGGTGCCAGGGAAGGATGAGGCTGCCAAGGCACCTCCCCCAGGGCACACAGTCGCTGCTGGTATGTCGTCCACCCACCAGACCCAGCCCAGCACCAGCTCCTCAAGGTCACCTCAAAACTGGGACTGGCTTCAAAAGCCTCTGCAGCCCCCAGCCCCATTAGAGTCCCCAGCCCCATGACCTGCACATGGCTTCTGGCTGGGCTTGTCCCTGGGATTTGAAGTCTCCCCTAATCCCAAGCAACCTCAAGGGACCAATTCTGTAAGTCCACCCATCAGCAGTGGGAGCTGAAGGTCTCCCATCCTGCCTTTTGGCACTCTGGACATGAGAACATGGGCAGGAGTGGCCCCATGCCTGCCCTTATGCCTTTTAGGCATAACGGGGATTTTAGGTGCTCCTTTCAGAATGACTTTCAGTCACAGCAGCAGGGCTGTTTATGGGTAATGACTGTTGGTGACACAGGGCTGAGCAGAGGAGCTCGAGAGCAGGCAAGTGCAGGAAGGGAGACGTCTGTAGGCAAATGACAAATTTCCGTGTTTCGGTAAATGTGGGGCTCTCAGCACCTGGGGTCTTGGGGCTGTTGTTTCTCCCTGTCCTATGCCTGTTCTTGAGAGCTCTCAGAGTCACAAAGCAGCTCAGAAATATCTGATCTTATGACATAAGTGGGATTTTTTCCATGATGTGGAGAAGCGACCAAGCCTGCAAGTGCTGTAAATAAAGGCACTTGTTGGCTGCAGAGCTGTGGGAGCCCCATGCCAGCTCCCCCTGCACATCCTGTAGTGGGTTCTGTGGTTCCAGGTGGGGACTCTCACAGCTGGATCTGCAAAGGGCCACCTATGCCAGGGGCACAGCAGCACCACGAGGTGTTTCTGCCTTCCCTCCTTCCCCTGCCACCCTCCAGCGATCACAACACTCAACAGCAGTAAGCACAGCACATCTGACAGCAAAAACATCTCCCGAGGTCAGTGGTGTGGCCCAGGGCAGCATGAGGACATCAAGTAATAACAATAATAACGATAATAACAATCAGCAGATAATTTCAGACCTTGCTGAAGAGCTCTTCAGTACAGAGCAATGTGCTGAGATCTGAGGGGACTCGGAGTGTTCCTCTACAGGAGTGATGCCTTCAGCACAAGGGGACACAGCCTTTGGGACAAGGGAGGATGCTGTGGGAAGCTGGCAGAGGTCTAGCTGGGGGAACTCATCCCTGTCATCTGTGGGACCAGCATTTCCAACAGGCATCATCATCCCAGATGCTGCACCCCCTTAACTATAGAATTCCTGTGATGAGCCTGGAGGGGTGCAGGAGAGTGCAGGAGGATGCAGGAGGGCGGGTGGCTGCCAGTTTCATTGTCCCCGCTGCCACCTCCCCCACCACAATGCCGGTGGGGTCCCACGCAGCCGGGGACAGCCACACCACCCGGCACCACCGCTCCCGGGACAGGGAAGAACCCACGCCGGGTGCCCCCAACACCCCTCGTTCCCAGCAGTGCAAGCAGGACTCCTCGCAAACATCAGCCCCACGCGAACCCCAACTCCATCGAACCGCGGCAACGTGTGCACTCGCTCCCACGAGAGCCCGACCCACGGAGCCCCGACCCCACGCGAACCCCGACTCCGAGCGAAGCCCAGCCCAAGCCCAGCCCAGCCCAGCCCCAAAGCCCCCGCAGCCGCTACCTCGGCACCGACGGGGCAGCAGCGCAGGGCGCTGCCGGTGCAGCCCATGGAGCCCCGGCGGGACGCGCTCAGCCGCGGGGCGCGGGGCGCGGCATCCCGCGGCGAGCGGCACCGCTCAGGGACGGGACAGGACGGGATGAGCCGCCCCAGCTGGCAGGCAGAAAAAAAAATAATTAAAAAAAAAAAAGTAATAAAAACGTCCGGCAGCTGCTGACAGGCAGCGCCGGGAGAGGGTGCTCTGCACCCCCGAGCCGCGGGCAGGGCCCCCGGCCGCAGCCTGCCCGCCCCCGGGGCTGGCCCTGGGCCCCCTCCACCCCGGGGTGTCCCCGCCCTGGGCCGGGGTGCTTCGGGAATGCTCTGTCCCACGGGCCCCCTGCACTGAGGATGCTCCGTTGTGGGTGTGGGGTAAGGAGAGCAGCACCCCTGCTTTGGAGGTGTCCTCTCCTGGGCGAGGAGAAACAGGAACAGGAGCCCTGCACCAGGGCTAGGGCGGGAGCAGGACCAGCTGCTCAGGGGGCTTCCTCTGCTGAACCCACCCCAGCCCCCTTAGGAGCAGGGATGAGAGTGAGAAGGCAGAATCCATCCAGCTTTTGCCATTACCCCATCAAGTTTCAGCTTGTGTGGGGGTACTTGTGGAAAAGTGGTGGGTTTGGGGTGTTACTCCTGGCAGGAGCTCTGCTCTGGGGGTCGTTGTGCTGGCTGGAGAGGGCTTTTGATGTGTTCCATACTGCCTGAGGGACTGCATCCTGTCAACTGTTCTCCTGAGCATCCCAAACACCCCAAATGCTGGGCCTGGAGCCAGGGTGCCCTTTTCCAGGAGGAAATCCTACACTTTGGAAGAGGGTCCTGAACACGTAGGGAAACACGGATTTGAAAACGTCCCATCTAAAAAATAAAGTGAGCAAAGGCAGGTTCTTCAAATGTTTTCATTTTGATGATTGTTTAAAATGCCTTTTTATAATTATATTTTTATACATTCTTGAATGACCACACATTTTGACCTGAAAACGCATTGGTGCTACCCCAAACTGCTGAAATAGGAGTGTTTGAACCTGGTCATGAGGCTGTGCCTGTATGGAAACATTGCAAGTTTTTTGTCAACAAGTTTCTATTCTGACATTTTCCAAATATCTCCTGGGAGAAGTCCAAGCAGCCTGCGGCTCTGGGGATGCCAACACCTTGGCATTTCGCCTGGGCAGCGAGGGAGTGGAGGTGCCTGGTCGTCCTGTCACGTTCGACTTGGAGGTGTTTTTCTTGCCCTGGTAACCCTGGCACAGGGGAAATTGTGAAACACCACTTGGATGGGAGGGTGGGGAAGGCGAGGGGCAGGCCCATGCTGCCCCAAGTCTCCCGGGGACTGGTGGGACCAGTTGCCTGCGTCCTCTTGGGTGGGTGCTGCTTAACCTGAGTGAAATTTTGTGAGTCACAGAAGCTTCTGGCATCTGCTCCCACTGCTCAGAAACCACCGAGAGCGTCTCAGTTCTTATCTCTCCCAGCACTTCTGAGTGGGGCAAGTCTCCTTCCCTGCATGAGAGTACTTATTTGGGCTGAGTAGATCGTTTGTGGGATAAAAGCGCAAGGTGCTGGTCTCCACCTCTCCAGGGTTAATTGAAAATCCCGGTCCAGACTTCAGAGACTGAAGGCCTACAGGGGCAACCACAAAGCACATGCAGATTTCCAGGCTGAATTTGCATGGCTGGGGCCCTGGCTGCAAAGAGGAGCAACTGTGTGGGCAGCTGATGAGGAGTCTGTCCAGCTGCCATCACGTCTTGCTGGTGCACAAAGGTCCAGTAGTTGCACATGTGCTTATGGAAATTTCAGCTTTTAACTGTGAGGTGCTGAGGGGGTGCTTGGGGACACCCCGGTGCCACAAACTGGGGCTCCAGGTAGGATTTCTCTTGACAATGATGGAGAAAAAAGTTTGGTCACATCAGGCTAAGGCATTGAGCCAGCAGGGCAGAGCAGGGGCTTGGGGATGGGCCTGTGCAGCAAGGCCAGCTCCAGCACCCCCATCCCCAGCCCCTGCTGCAGGCTCTGTGTGACAGCCCTGTGCTTCTAGAGATCGCTGCCTTTTGGAGACACGGCTGCCCAGACCATGTTACATCCTTCCTTCAGCCTGTGGGTGCATCTGTGAGGCTGCCTGCCAAATGCCCTGTCTGTGCTACCCCAAACCTCTCTTATTCTAGCTTGATTTTAGCAATTCCTCAGTTTCTCCAATCTTTCCTGTGGAAACTGCATGGGATGTGTGCCTGCCATACAGGTCTTTCATCTCAGCTCTGCTTTATCCTCCTCTGCCCCAATACACTGAAAACTTGCTCCCTTTTCAGGGCAGCTCTTAAACAGCCAGAAACTGCTCTGTTCAGCTGCTTTTGAGCAAAGCAGGGCCTTTCCCTGGCATCGTAGGGGTAACCAGAGCACCCCAGGGATCTGCAGAGCACAAGGGCCTGGAGAAAAAGGGAACTGTGGGAGCGAGGGGATGTCTGCCCAGGCAAAGACAGGAAAGCAGAGGTGGTGTTGTGCCCCCACCTGAGGCAGCTTCAGCTTGTTTTGAAGTTTGCTCTAATGTCTTTTCTTGGTGTTATCTTGATCTCTCCCCAGGAATGACAGCAGCTGGAGACATCTCCAGGGTTTTGTCTAGAAAAGTGAGACGAGGAGGCTTTATCACATGCTCGGCTGAATTGCCGTAAATGGGATAACAGCTGGAAAGTCAAGTTAATTTGTACCAATGGTCATTTAAAGTGTTTGCCAAAGCTTATGGATAAGAAAAGCATCTGTGCAAACTGTTTAAGTGTCTCTTGTGGCTCTGTATCTGGATCTAGCTGGTAAGGACTGGGCACAACAGGATGGGTACAAGGCAGTGTCAGTGCCAGCCCGGCATGGTCTGTTTGCAGAGTGGTTGTGTGAGTGCAGATGGGGTAATTTCTTTTTTTTTATCCTTGTTTGTATATCTTATTTTCAGAAACCTAGTCTGGAAAGAAGAAAAAAAAAAAGAGGTGGAGGATGTTTTGCTGGAAGGTTTTTGGGTGATGAGCTGGCATGTGGTGATGCCTGATGGGTCCTGGTAGAGCTTCAGCCCAAGCAGTGGACAGAGAGTGGTCGTGGTTACACCCTGCTCATCATTTGCAATCTGTTTGCTTTTGTAAATGAGAGGTAATGGAGTGCTGGCTGCTTTTCTTCAATGCAAATCCTAGGTGTTTAGCCAGGTCTGCTGAGACCTCGTGACTTGCACTCAATTTTGCATGGGTGGGTTAGATAGCTGAAAAAACTGTTTGAATTGGAGAAGTTCTCATACATGTTGGAGCTCAAAAAAGAGGTGTTTAGCCAGGTCTGCTGAGACCTCGTGACTTGCATTCAATTTTGCATGCATGGGTTAGATAGCTGAAAAAACTGTTTGAATTGGAGAAGTTCTCATACGTGTTGGAGCTCAAAAAAGTCACAGGCTCTTTTAGTGGGGATTTAGGTCACACATGATTCTGCCTTGAGGTAGTGCAATAATTTCAAGTCATTCCTGTCCCTGCCTGTGCTTTTCCAAGCAAAAAGATGTGGGTTAACCTGTTCTCGTAGTCTTTTATCCTCTTTTTTCCCCCATGGCAAAATGAAGTGGAAAAGGACGTGAATAGGGAAGTGAAACCTTCACTCACAATGGCTGTGAGAAGCAGAAAAGCATGCGATGCCCGGGTTCGAGGTGAGGGGCTCTGCTCCCCTCCCAGCCCCAGACACAATGCTCCTTCTGTGCCTCTCCCCATGCATCCCTATCCTTATCCCTGTCCTCCGGCTGCTCCAGGGCCTCAAAGTGAAAGCTAATCCCAGGGGATAACTTTCCGCTCTGTTCCCGGCTGGGAGGAACGGGCTATTTATTCCTCACCCCTAAGCCTCGGCAGTGGATCGGCGGCGCAGTTGTCGCTGCCGGCTCGGGGTGGGCAGCAGCATCCACCACGTCCCCTGCCTGCTCCCACGCCCTGCCTGCACACTGCCGCCCGGACTCGCTGCTAAATAAGGACGAAAGGCTAAAAATAGAGCTGAGAGGGGGGTTTGGACAAGCCAGGCAACCCTTCCCAGGGCTGGGAGCAATATGGGGAGGCCAAGCAGTGTCCGTGTGCAAGGGAGAGCAGAGCTGACTGTGGGAAAGGGTCTCATAAGTGGCTCCTGACCGTGCTGTGGCAGGGGGGAAGGCGTGAGACCTGCCACACTTGTGTCCTCTGTGCTCAGCTGGCTCAGTCCCCTTTGCAGGATGAAAGCATCTGTCCACCAAAATATATGGGAAAATCCATGCTACTGTGCCACTGCTGATGGAAGGGTACCCGTGTGACCATTCCAGTATGATGGGGGTGTCTGGTACAGCTCTGTCTGGAAAATTATCTGCAAACAGGGGGTAGGAATGGAAGAGGGGATGATAAATCCAGCATTTTACATAGACGGGTGGTAGGGGTACTGTGGCAAACTGCCCAGTCAGGGGCTACCCGATGCCAGCGTCCCCTCCCCCCTGCTCATACACATGGGGTTGGAGGGTCTCAAATATCTGAAATATCTCAAATATCTCTGCTCTTCAGCTGCCACCTGCCCTGTTCCGGGCGCGGGGGGAGCGTGGGGGTCCCGGGTACTGACCAGAGGGTACCGACCCTCGCACAGCTAGGGCATCCCCGAGTGGGATGTGAGGACAGCCGCAGCCCTGGGTGGACGGGTGGGTGGTGGGGAGATGGTCGTGCTTCCCCCATAGCAGCGGGGTGATCTGTGTGCCCTGGGGTGGTGGGTGCAGCTCCCGCCCCCTCGCTCCAAGTGCCAGTTCTGGGAGCTTGGGAAAGCGGCGCTTCCCGTCCCAGCATCCCTGCGAGTCCAGTCCTGCGCTTGGCAGCGAAACCGGGGAAGGGAGGGGAAAAAAAAGAAAGCAAAAGGGGAAGGGACAATGTGAGCGTCCTCGGGGGAGGGAGGGGAATCGGGCGGTGGGCCGGGCTCCGAGAGAGGGCTCATCCCCTCTGCTCGGGGCTTCATAGACCGGCCGCCGCCAGCCCGGTCCCACCGAGGTCCCTGCCCTCCGCTCGCCTCCCCACCGCTCGGAGCAGCTCCCCGGCCGCATCCCGGACCGTTCCCGGCGCATTCCCGGAGGATGCTGTGCGCGGGGCTGGCGCTGGCGCTGTGCGCGCTGCAGCTCGTCCCGGCCGCGCTCGCCGGGCCGCAGCCGCAGCTGCTGGTGGAGCGCAGCGGGGCCCGGCGGCTCAGCAAGGTGAGCAGGGACCCGCACCCGCACCCCGCACCTCTCGGGCACGGAGGGGGCTGCCGGGGGGACT